ACACAAAGCAGAAATAAGAATAAGAGATCTTTTAACTCTGGAGAGTTATCTTAGTGATGGAAACCTTGATTGCACTTCCTAGATTTATTGGATTCATCTAATTGATGAGCCCTTGGAAGTTTTATCCTCTACCTTTAGAGGATTTTGACTGATACATTTCCTTTCTCCCTCCCTCCCTCCCTCCCTCCCTCCTTCCCTCCCTCCTTCCTTTCTTTCCTCTTTCCCTTCCTCCTTCCCTTCCTTTCTGCTTCCCTTCTTGCCTTCCTCTCTCCCTCCCTTCTTTCCTTCCTTCTTTGCTCAGCACATGTTCACTTCATGGGTTCTGTCATTTGCACCTAAAGACTCCTGCCTAATACAGGCCTGTTGATCTTCCATCCTTCCTTATATTCTCTAGGGAATGGTGCTAATGGTATATGTCCCTCTGTGTTGATGGACCTCAGTAAAGATGAAATGAAGTCCCTTCCCCTCCCTTCCCTTCCCTTCCTTTCCCTTCTTCCTTCCCCCTTCCCTTCCCCCTTCCCTTCCCTTCTCTTCCTTCCCTTCCCTTCCTTCCTTCCTTCCCTTCCCCTCCCTTCCTTTCCCTTCCCTTCCCTTCCCTTCCCTTCCCTTCCTTCCTTCCTTCCCTTCCTCCCCTCCTCCTCCTTCCCTTCCCTCCCCTCCTCTCCCTCCTCTCCCCTCTTCTTTCCTTCCCTTCTCTTGCCTCTTCTCTCCCCCCTCCCTTTCCCTCTCCTCCCTTCCTTTCCCTCCCTCCCCTTCCTTCCCTCCCCTGCCCTCCTTCCTTCCTCCCCTGCCCTTCCTTCCTCCTCCCCCTGCCCTTCCTTCCCTCCTCCCCTCCCCCTCCCTCCCCCTCCCTCTCTCCCCTCTCCCTCCCTCCCTCCTCTCCCCCTCCCTCCTCCCTCCCCCTCCTCTCTCCCCCTCCCCTCCTCCCCCTCCCCTCCCCCTCCTCTTCCCATCCTCCCCGTCCCCTTCCCCCGCCTCCCCGGGTCCCCTTCCCATCCTCCCTCTCCCCTTCCCCCATCCTCCCCTCCCTTCCTCCTTTTCTTCCTCCTTCCCTCCTCCCTTTCTTCCTCCCTTCCTCCCTTTTCTTTCCCTCCCTTCCTCCCTTTTCTTCCTCCCTTCCCTTTTCTTCCTCCCCTCCCTCCCTTTCTTCTCCCCTCCTCCCCTCCCATCCCCTTCCCCCATCCTCCCCCTCCCATCCCCTTCCCCCATCCCTCCCATCCCCTTCCCCCCATCCCCTCCCTCCCTCCCCTTCCCCTCCCTCCCCTCCCCTCCTTCCCCCTCCCCTCCTCCCTTCCCTCCCTCCCCCTCCCTCCCCTTCCCCTCCCTCCCCTTCCCTCCCCTCCCCTCCCCTTCCTCCACTCCTCCCCTTCCCCTCCCTCCCTCTCTCCCCTTCCCCTCCCTCCCCTCTCCCCTTTCCCCCTCCCACTCCCCTCCCCCCTTCCCTCCTCCCCTCCCCTTTTCCTCCCTCCCCTCCCCCTCCCTCCTCCTCCTCCCCTTCCCCTCCCCTTCCCCTCCCCTTCCCCCTCCCTCCCCCCTTCCCTCCCCTCCCCTTCCCTCCCCTTCCCCTCCTCTCCTTCCCCATCCCCTCCCCTTTCCCCCCATCCTCCCCTCCCCCCCCCCCCCCTCCCCCCCACCCCCCCCCCTCCCCCCCCTCCCCACCCTCCCTTCCCCTTCCCTCCCCTTCCCTTCCTTTCCCTTGCCTTCCTTTCCCTTCCCTTCCCTTCCCTTCCTCTCTCCTCCTTTTCCTTCTTTTCCTTTCCTTCCTTTCCTTTTTCTTCCCTTCCTTTCCTTCTTTTTCTTCCCTTCCTTTCCTTCCCTTCTTCAATTGTGTATTGAGAACCAGATACTGTGCCAGCCACCAGAAACATCTGAATGATCAAGGCAGCCTCCATCTGCTTAGATCCTTTTAGTAGCTGTTTTATTGTTGAGTATGATGATGTGGGAGTTCTATTCCCAGTTTGTATTATTTTGAAGCCACCTCTGAATTCTGAGTAACTCTGATGATGAGTAGACTGTGTCTCCTTGGGGCCCCTGTTTGAAGCTAGGATTTAGGTGAGCAATCCTGATCCCACTAAGGAGAGAGCAGGATCACCTGAGCCACTGACGTTTAAACCCAGGATATAAAGGTTATCATTGCCCTCTAGAAAAATCAAATTGGTAAGAAAGGAAAATCCTCCCTTATGAATGTTCATCAAAGAGTGTTTCCCATCAGGTGATATTCTGTCCCTTCAGGCCACGGTGGGATTCATTAAAGATGAGAGGACAGTGATGAACCACCTCTTGTGTAGGAATATTTATATATTCTTGGATTCTTCAAGATGTTGCAAATTCCATTTAATAAGTAAAGTGGTTATCTCAGTCACAAACTACCATGAGGCAATAATGATGGTCCATTTGTCAAAAACCGCCCCTCAAGCACTAAGGAGATGTGTGTAACAGTTGGCATTTTAAGCATTGTGATTGTCAACCCACTGATTGACAGACCTCTTAATTGTCAATTTGGATAATAATAATTCTGCTGCAAAATGTTACAGAGAGACAGAGAAAGGGAAAGGAAAGAAAGAGAAGGAAAGAAGAGGAAGGGAGGGAGACGGGAAGTAAGGTGAGGGAGAGAGGGAGGACGTGAGATAAATATTAGATATGCTTTGGAGTTTTTGAATAGATTATTGCAAATTGTGTTCAACCCCACATCATTGCTGGCTGGTTGTCTTTTTTTATTTGTTGTGAGGTGATTGCTTCAGAAACCCTGACACAATTCTCTGTAGAGTGATTTTTGTGTGGTCAAGAATTTTGTGACTTTAAAAAGACTTTCCAGTTCCTGCTGCTTTGGGACTTTGGCCCTCTATATGCCGATACATAGATCTTATTACACTGTGTTGATAGCTACCCTGATCTCTAAATATATCGGAAACTTATTAGGAAGAATCCCAAAGAAGTCAACACCTTTACTGAAGAACTATTTAAAAAGATGTATTGGTAGCATCTAAGTGATCGCATTATTCTTAGTGAATCAGAGGCCTCCATCCTAAGAAGCATGGGAGAGGTCAAACACCATGTATGCCAACTGAAAGAGTTAAGCCATTTTTCTATTTACATGGTTTATTTCACAAGTGTCTGACTCATTGAGCATAACCAGCACAGTTAAATGACAAAATTACTCTTTGGTCCTTTTTTTATTGACTACAATTCAAGGCTGCTTCAAGCCTCCCAAATTTAATCCCCGAAGCTCTTTGCCAAGAACATTACCTTTTATTTTCAGTGTTAAACTGTGTAAGATACCCCTAAGGCTACATGGAAACTTACTCTCTGTGATAGCAGCTAACGGAGTGTATCAATTGTTCATGATTTCCCATTCTCCTGTAAATTGGGAGAGGCAGGGAGAGCAGTGGAATGCGAATTTTGTTCTGTCAGCACTTTCTTGCCCCAGCTTTAGCCCAAGCAATGCCTGTTTTGGTAATTAATTATAGTGTGTTTGTAGCTCTTCATTCTCAGTTACCATTTAGCAACCTGTCAAATCCGGAGCTAATGAGTCTATCCCATAGAAGTCAATGCATTTACTTTATTTTATTTTTATGCATCGAGACAATACTGATTTTTCTTAGGTCTGATGAAGTTGAGAGGGAGATTCTAAACCAGTGTATGGAAAAGGCAAGGTTTTTCTACTCATAACTGTTCATCCCAAGAACGGCTCTGCTTAAAGCTTTCATTGATGTTAGTCTAACTAGAAATTGGAGTATCCCAGTTATTAATGTGACAATAATTTAATATTTGAAGGAAGAAATAGCTGACTCATAAGTGTCCTTGTCAAAGTGTTGTTAGTAAACAAAGGTTGAATGGTTCTGAGATTTCTCTCAAATGATGAAGCACACTTTGTAGGGGATGTTTCAGAGGTCTTCCCTCTGTGTGTTGAGAGACTAGATTAGGAATATCTAGCTTAGGATTTTCATCTAAAATGCAGGAAAAAACAGCAGATTCGTGATACTTTCCTCTTCTCATTGCTTTTGTGATGGTGTTCTTTCTTCTTTAATTGTGGACTTGCAGGAGTTCTGTAATCTCTTTATGGGAAGGACTTAGGCAGAGCAGTTTGGTTTCAGGGCAGACGGAGAGCATACTCCTTGAAGCTGCTTTCATATCAGGCTTGCTTGTTTTACTCAGAATCATATGGTTACAGCTCAATTAAAATAGCAGAGTTTTCTGAGGATGATTTCATTCGCTTTATGTGAGACGAAGACGATTTCATTGACTTTATACAAGACATATCACTAATCTCTACCGAAGAATAGAAACAATAATTTTCTGAAATTACATATCAGAATATGAGTGTTCAGCTCAGCCTCTTTATGGAACAATGTATACCAAAAACACATCTTTATTCTTAGTTGAAAGTCTTAGAGAACCCAAAAATTAGAGCAATGGCATTCACCTCTGGTGGTGAGAAGTAAAATCTTCAATTCAGCACACAAAACTCAGACTGATAGCTATTTCTGAAGCCTGGCTATAACTACAGTATCACGTGGCCGATAAGTTCTGCATTTCTAAAGGAAGATATTTTTTCCCTGTCAATCAAAAGTGAGTAAAAACACATGTACACATTTTAGCTTAGCTGACCAGGTCACAGGGATGTATACCTTTTTATGTATAAGTGCCAGGAGTGAGGCTGGAAGGAGGAATTAAGTTATGTTCCCTTAATACCATCAGTGTTGTATTTTCCTTAAAAAGAAATGTATATATACAAATTAGTTCCTCAATCCAATAAGAACATGATTCTTACTGTTTATTACAAAAATGCCACCTCTTAAGTATTATTTCTTCCCATCTCATTCATTGATAATGTCTATTATATTTTTATAATAAAGAGTCAAAGATTCTATGCGAAATTCTCTGTTCTCCTCAAACAGATGAGGGACCATATTCTGATGCTTTTGCCCATACTTGGGGCTTCATATCGACTCTAATATCTAATATAATTTATTTTACTTGTCGACTCTGTTTTTCAGAGAACTTGATAAGCAGAAGAACAGTTGATCGCTCTTGTTCAGGTCAGCTGCACTAATGCCCATGGACCTGCAAATTTCCCGAATGTGAGTGGCTTTTATGCTGCTTGTAGAAATCCGAGTTTAGATGAGCCACACTTTGTAGAAAATGCTTCAGAGGCCTTCCTGCAGCCTCTCTGTGTGGATAACCTCCATGGAACTATATTTGGTAGACACTGAAAGTTGTAACCATTTAATTCAAAATTTTTAATTGACTGTGGTATCAGCAAAATGAGAAATGTCTTTCACCCTTGATCTTTGACAATAGCAGACATGTTAATATGAAGTTATTGTTAAGCCTCCAAAAGGCACTGCTACAAGTATTTTTTTTCTGCCATTCTTGTTTCTTTGTAGATTCACACTTTTGAGTATTCAGAGCTTGCTTTTCCTTTGAGTTAGAGGAATGCATTGGAGAGAAGTGTTATTGATGAGGGCTGATTAAGCAAATTAATGAATTGAGACAGCTGAATAGTAAGTGAGAAGAATTTGAGGAGTGGAATTGGTTTTTGCTCATTGACTGTAAAGTGTAGGAGTTAAAACCACAAGGGTACCTGATGAAACAAGCTGTATTATCAAGGTAAGTAAAGAGAGAGCATTTGGAATTGTATACTATTTTTCCTCTTCCAACGAATAGCTGTGTGCTAGCTGTTCACTGCTTTCCTGGCATATATTTTTCTTGTTTCATTTTCTGAGTCATCTGCAATAGTGGAAATGAATTCATTCAACAAATATGTATTGAATGCCCATTATGTTCCAGACACAGTGTTAAGGCACTTAATGGTACTGGTAGAAATACATTATTTAATATGTCTGATGACTGAATGTTCTCAGTTCTAATGGAGTCAAGTGTTTTTGGCTGGGGGTGGTAATCTTTGGAAAGCATCTTGGAAAGCCTTTGTTATTTCAAACTCTTCAAATCTGCAACTCTTAAAAACGAGGCAACACTACATGTTGGCTAAGACGTGGGGGCAGCGGGCGCTCTGCCGTGATGCTGGTGGGAGTGTATCCTGAAGCACCTGCTTTGGCGCTCAGTTTTGTAACATCATGGGCTGTTCAAGACGCATGTACTTTTGAGATATTTCATCCCTAGATGCACACATGAAGGAGACACATAGAAGATTCGTTTTGGCATCCAAGCGAAACGTTAGGAAGACAACAATCAACCAAACATTAATTGTCCACCAGTAGGGAAATAGAAAATAAATTGTAGCAAAATCATGTCTGGTGTGCCATGTTAAAATGAATAAACTAGATCTCTATGTGCCAATGTGGATAAATCTGAAAACTATAATGCTGAACAACAACAAAAAGTAATTTGCAGGAGGAGACATACAGTATGAATACATCATTTATGTGTGGTTTTTGGACACAGAAAAATGTGTTCAAAAATATGTAAATGTGTTCAAAAATAGATATTCCAAAATATACATTTACGTGTATTTCTATATGAATGTGTCCAAAGATATGTATTCTCTTGGGGTATATGCATATATGGTAAAACAAGAGAGAGCTATGTGGGAGTGATACACAGTAAGTTCAGCAGTATGCCCACCACTGTTAGGGAGTAGGGGAGGGGTTGTAATCAGCGAGAGTGACTGAGAAGGATTCCATTATATTCGTTATATTTTATGTTGCAAGCTGCGGGGTGGACATATGGCATTTGCTGCAGCATCTTTGATATTTTTTATATGTCTGATGTATTGCATAAGAAAAAAGAGTGCATCTGAAAAGCTACAGCTATCGCTGTGTGTGTGTATATACATGCTGAGATTTTTGAGCACCAGACTCTAACCATAGTCTAATCATTTTCAGGTTTGCAAAAGGTTTTTGTACAAAAACAAGGTCCATTTCGAGTGCAGTATCTTGGTAAGATTGTTAGGGGCACATGAGCAAAGGGATGCAGTAGCCTCAATCTACAAGGCAAAAGATGGACCAGTGAAGCAGTTCCCTAATGTCTTTGATCAATGTAAACTGCTAATTGCAAGGTCTGACTCTCTTTTCCAAAAGGAATGATTTTTTCCCCCACTCAATTACAAGAATAATTGCTTCAACTCTCAATGTTCCTTTAACTGGGCACATTGAATGTTAGCATCTTAGGCTCTCATTTCATATGAAACTACTAAGTTGTTCCAGTTAACAGCTCTTGTATCGGGTCTTTCTGTTGCAATATTACAGTCTTGGCATGCACCCTTCTCTATTTTTCACTGTGTATAATGAGGTCAAATTCGTTTTGGAAGGCCTTGAGGTCTTCCAGATTTACAGCTATTTTGAAAACCCTATTGATAATAAATATTTGGCCAGAGTGTTTCCATGTTCATACACTCCCCATCTTTCCTGGCCAGGGTCCCTTTAGTTTCTTTTTCTTTTTTTGTCTAGCCTGCATTTTCTCCCTGCCCAGAAATGTCATTAACATTAACAAGTGCTCTCTCTGGCCCTGGCAGGGGGTCTGCAAACAGAACTGGTTTGGAATGTGCAATGGGAGGCTTGAATCAAACAAAAGCTGTGATACAGACTGGAGTGTGTAAGGCAAACTCGATAAGCTCCAGTCAATACTGACAGGAAAAATCACAGCAAAACTGATTTTGCTGAGAACATGTCATTGGCCTATGAGGGAGACTTGGAAGGGATGCTTCAGCAATAATAACAACAAAAGAGTTTTTCATTTAACTTTTATATTATGAAGGGTTGCTGTGTGTGTCATGTTTAGGGACATAAAGTTAAATAAGTACTGATCCTTACTCTAGAGAGTTACTGGGCATAAGAACCCCGAAGTCCTGTGCCGCCTCCAGAGATTTTAATTCTGTAGGTCTGGAGTGGAGACTGTTTCCCTTGTGAACAAGCTCACAGGCGATGCTGATCCTGCTGGTTCCTGGAAGCACATTTTGAACAGCAGGGCCCCAGAGCAGGTTCAATGAAACGGAGGAAAGGAGTCAAATAAATATCCTTTCATGCAGTGCTATGGGGAGACGCAATGGCAGAGTTATTAGCAATACTACAGTTACCTAGGAAAAGGAGCAAACAGCTCTGCCTTGCCCAGGGAACCAGCAGAATGGAGGTGATACTTAACCAGCACCTTGAAGAGTGAAGAGATTTCCAGGAGGAAAAGAGAGTTCGTGTTACAGACAGAGGAAGTGACATAAAAGAAGTACAGGACACAGCTGGAAAATGAAAGTGATTTTGTATGAACAGAGCTGGAGGTAGAATTGGAATCATCCCAGATGCTCTTTAAGAATCGGCTGTGGCTCACACCTGTAATCCCAGCACTTTGTAAGGCCGAGGCTGGTGGATCACCTGAGGTCAGCAGTTCAAGACCAGCCTGGCCAACATGACGAAACCTCATCTCTACTAAAAATACAAAAATTAGCCAGGCATGTTGGCCGGCACCTGTAATGCCAGCTACTCAGGAGGCTGAGGCAGGAGAATCACTGGAACCCAGGAGGCAGAGGTTGCAGTGAGCTGAGATCATGGCACTGGGCTCCAGCCTGGGTGACAGAGTGAGACTCCGTCTCAAAAAAAAAAAAAAAAAAAAAAAAAAAAGACAGGCCACAGCTGGTTTTTGAAGGAATTTGCAGAGTCCTTCTAAGGTGTTTGGTCCATTATTCTATGGTGGAGAGCAGTGGAAGAATTTTTACAGATTATTGGTGGGAGAGTAGATGAAGAGAAACAATTAAGCAGGGGACCAAAAGTCTAGGTGAAAAAAGAGGAGGACTTACCTGAATTAGTTTTTGGAGTAGAGAAAGACATCACACAAAACATTCCATCCTAAAGGCAAGACCCTCAAGGTTGGAAATGAAGTATCTTCTAGATGCAGACTGGAAAAAGTGATTAAGAGCAAATGGTCAAGATGAATGGGTAGAGATGAAACGTGGGTCACCAGGAGGGTGAGGACTCACTAATCTTCAAGAATCTATGGCTAAAGAATCAAGACTCCTTACTAAAATTTAGAAAAGTCCCATAATGGAAAGAACTAAGCAAGTTTTGCCTTCTGCTACCTCTACATTCATTATGTTGCCTGTACAAGTAGAACACACAGCAGGGACTGTGCTTTAGTACCAATTACAGTTATTTTCTGGTTGTAAATGTAGGTTCAGTGAAATGGAGAAAAAGAGTCAAATAAATATCCTTTCATGCAGTGCTATGGGGAGATGCAATGGCAGAATTATTAGCAATACTACAGTTACCTAGGAAAAGGAGCAAACAGCTCTGCCTTGCCCAGGGAACCAGCAGAATGGAGGTGATACTTAACCAGCACCTTGAAGAGTGAAGAGAGAAATGATAATGAGAAGATAAATGTAAATGACATTAAAGATGTGATCTGTTCCAGGATGCCATTTTTATCTTCTTTGTCAGAAGGAGGGAGAGAGAATGGCATCAAAATACCAAGGTTCTAGGTTTTTTCCCCCTTAAAAAAAGAAAAGAAAAAAGAAATGACCCTAAGCACAAATTGGATGTTGGCACTTTTTTTTTTTTTCTTTTTTTTACCAAAACCAAATACAACCTTATGGAGGTAATGAGACTTGTGATGCAGTCTTAGGAGGATGTGCTATGAGAGGAGCCAAATTAGGTAACCACAAACAAATACCAAGTTCTTTATTGGTATTTTGAATATTTATTAAACAGTTCCCAATCCATTGCCATTTGTTTCCTTCACACTTTATGCTCCCTCCTTCTTCCTTCTCTTGCAAAATCCTCACAACTTGTCCTGTCTTTCTGTTCCTCTTTTTTTTGTTGTTGTTGAGATTATGCCTTGCAAAACCTCTAATTAACCTGCCTAGCAAAAGCTGAACCTTCTTCAGAGTACAGGGAGAGTACAAAAAATAAAAGTGACAAACAAGAAAGCAAAGGAGTCTCTTTAGCAGGAAGGAGGAGGGGTCATTTCAGGGAAATTATTTTAATAATTCTTGTCCCATCACATAAATAATTCATTTTTTTCTTCTATATCACTGTATTACTAGACTTCATCGCAAAGCATAACTCTTCCACTTTTAGACACTTTCAAAAATAAGAAATTAGAGAACACACTTCATTCTTTTGTTATCCTATCCAGTTATTTCAAGACAAAACATTTCAAAAATAATAAATTCAGAGTGCAATAAAGGAACGCTATTTGTTTTACTTTTGCAGGCACAGACATTTTGTGAAATCGCCAACAATTCAGAAAAGAAATGACATCATCATGGCCAAAAAAGTAGAAATAACATAATCTCAAAATAACATAAAAAAAAAACACCTTAATTAAAAATTCAGCTTTAGGTTTAAACCCCTGTATTCTCCCTTTATTTATTTATTTATTTTTTTAAATCATGGGCTAATATGTCAAAACAGGCTGGATCTGTCAAAGGCAGGATATTTGGGAATCAAGGATCTAATTCAAATGTTTCACTTTGTTCATGATGGAAGATTCCAAACTGGCTTTTAAAGCCTTTTAATAATGTATGGAATCCTGACGAAAAAGCTGCTTCCTAGAATATGTTGCTCTGTTCAACCTATATTTTTAAGTGTCTTTTTCCTCTAATGTGGGTTTAAAAACAATGAGGAGAGACATGTACTGCTTCAGTATTTTGTTGAGGCCAATTCCCTTTTTTTCTGATGTCGTGTGAATGGATACCCATCAAAACAAGAAGGACACTTTTGGTTTTTCTTTTTGGTGATAAATCGAAAACACGAGTCAAAAATGAGCCCTGTTCCTCAATCCCAGTGCCATTGTTGGAGTGGGTTTTTCTTTTCTTTTCTTTTTTTTTTCTTTTTGAGATGGAGTTTTTCTCTTGTTGCCCAGGCTGGAGTGCAGTGGCGCGATCTTGGCTCACTGCAACCTTCACTTCCTGGGTTCAAGCGATTCTCCAGCCTTAGCCTTCCACGTAGCTGGGATTACAGGTGCCCACCACCATGCCTGGGTAATTTTTGTATTTTTAGTACAGATGGGGTTTTGCCATGTTGGCCAGGCTGATCTCGAACTCCTGACCTCAAGTGATCCACCCGCCTTGGCCTCCCAAAGTGCTGGGATTACAGACTGAGCCACTGTGCCCGACCTGGAGTAGGTTTTCCAAGTACTTATAATAATTACTTCAATAATATGTGTTCATTGCAGATAACATGAAACATGCAGAAAAACACAAGAAAAATAGTTTCTAATTTTACCACTGTTTATGATTAGTGTGCACCATTTTGGTATTTCCTTTCTAGCCCCACACACCAAGGTACCTTCATATTTTTTAACACATGGTTAACTATTTGCTACTATGTTGCGGGAATTGTATCGGGGGTTAGAAATACAATTTGTATTAATTGTAGATAATATTTTGTGATCCATTATTTTTTAGTTTAATAAGATACTATGCACTGATATTCTTCTTCACGATGTGTGATGACAACATAGTATTCCCTAATTCATTTAATTAATAAGTTCGTTTTACCTTCTCATTTTGCCTCTCATTTGCTATTTGATCACCTTTCACAAATGGGTTTATTTGTTGTATTTTTTCCTGCTTTATTTGTAAGCACAATTAGATAACAGTTGCACACTGAGAATTTTCAGGTACAATTAACTTCTCCCTTTTTTGCGTGTAGGTTTATTTCTTCCTGACAAGACTTTCGCCTTCTAAGTAACTTAGTGTTAAAACATTACCTGAAAATGCCAATCCATTTGGTTCTTGCCCAGTAATGTCTAAATCATGTAAGAAATGCATTGAAGAAACAATCAGGGAAAAAAAGAGGGAGTAATATTGGCTAGCACAACATCTTTGAATAAATCTGGAAAGAAAAGAATAAATCTGGGTTGAAATAGAAGCCAAAAGACGATATTTTTATGTAAGATAATTCCCCTGTCCTTTTCTTTCCGCAGCTCTTTTTCTATCTAATATGCATTTTTCTTTATATTATAAAACAGCTTTGCTCACCTTATCTCTGGTAGTTCTTTATTACTTCAGTCTCTTCTCATTATTTTTTAATGTTCGGGAAATGTAAACTACTTTCCTACCACTTTTCATTTTTGTGGATAGGGTGGCTGATGGACTTTAAGTTTCAAGCTATGATGAAACAAGGAAATAGATCACTTCTTACAGTGTAATAATGGAACTCTGTTGATGGGTCTAATAAAGAAGAAAAAAATTCAAACCTTATCCATCATTTCCATGACTTCTAGTGTCTTTCCCATCTGCATCTTTGTGTTAAGCAAAAAATATATAATGCAAAAACTGTGTTTCACAAAGGACTTTTTTTTTTAATGGTTAGGATTTTCTAAGGTTGTAACTTTTGCATGTATAGTACTTGCCACACAAAGCATCAAGATAAGGAAACCAGTCCTTATGGGTCCTTAGCTATGTGACAATATCTAAAGGTCATACTGTTTTAAACATAAAGAAAACCCTCTAGGTAGAGTCTGTATTAGCTGTTCTTTAAAGATTGTTCTTTAAAGATTATATTTAAAGATTGCATTCTAACCAGCAAGAACACTTTCAGTGAGAACTTCTCATAAAGCAGTCAAGTTTTAGCTTGGAGATGTACGAAGTGCAGATGTTTTGTGAGTTTTCATCTTGGTCTTGCAAAGAAAAGCATGAAGCTATATAAGTCTTTCTGTAGGGAAAAAAAATACTCTTTTTTCTTCCTTTTTTTTTTTTTTTTTTTTTTCCTTTCTGATGAGCATGGATGGAGGAGGGAGAGCTCCTTCTGGATCATCATTGGCTCTGATGATGGTTTTGTACAAGGAATAACCTCTCTTGGGGTAGTGATTGTCTTTAATGACCTTTATAATCCAGAATTTTTGTTCATCTGAGAAACTGATGAGGATTAAGAGAAGAACGGGGGCCAGGCGTGGGGGCTCACTCATGTAATTCCAGCACTTTGGGAGGCCGAGACAGGTGGATCAGTTGAGGTCAGGAGGTCAAGACCAGCCTGGCCAACATGGCAAAACCTCATCTCTACTAAAAATGCAAAAATTAGCCAGTCGTGGTGGTACAGGCCTGTAGTCCCAGCTACTCGGGAGGCTGAAGCAGGAGGATCACTTGAACTCAGGAGGCAGAGGTTGCAATGAGCTGAGATTGTCCGGGTGACAGAGCACAGGACTCTGTCTCAAAACCAGAAAGGGATCCAACACATACTTATCAATTAATGTGTCAATTACCCATGGCCTCATTACCTTTAGATTTGCTCAGAACAAGTCCTGTTTATCCCTTGATCCTAGTGTAATTATTAACATCCCCCTTTCTGCTGACAGGTGTCCCAGTTTCAATGATGTATTATACAGTCGTTCCATAGCAGCCTTCTTAAACAAGAGAGTAATCAAATATAGAAGTGAAGCATCCTGAACAGACAAATTGGCAGTTGAATTCTGATTTCTCTATTTGCTTCTTCTGAGAAGCTAAAACTACTATATTTCAGTTAACTTATTTGAAAAATAGGTGTGATAGTAATGTTTTTCCCATATGGGTGTTGAGAAAATTAATGTGTGAAATTTTGATCAAAGTACTGATAAATAGTAAATATTCATTTTACGTTAGCAAATAATAATTCCCATTTTTTTTTCCATTAAAGTCTCTCAGTGTTATATGTTACAGCCTCCAGGTCATTTAGTATATAGAAACAGAAGTACTTCCTGGTCAGCAGCAGTGGATGCAGGAAGTGGTTTATCATAAGATGGACACAGAAAGTGATTGCGTGGTAAAACAGACTGGATTCATCTATGATGGATAAGTGTCCATAAAGGGACTATGGATCTAGAGACATTTCTGTAAATTTTCTTGTGGGTTAGTGTTCAAACTGGTAAAGTTGCCAGGACAAGGTAGGAAAGTCAGATTCAAGCCAATGCTTCACATTTATTGGTTTATGATTTCTTTTTCCTTTTTCTTTCTTTTTTTTTTTTTTTTTTGAGACAGAGTCTCACTCTGTCACCCAAGCTGGGGTGCAGTAGTACGATCTTGGCTTACTGCAACGTCTGCTCCCTGGGTTCAAGTGATTCTCCTGCCTCAGTCTCCCAAGTAGCTGGGATTACAGGCACATACCACCACGCCCAGCTAATTATTGTATTTTTCCTAGAGATGGGGTTTCACCATGTTGGCCAGGCTAATCAGAACTCCTAACCTCAGGTGATCCACCTGCCTCACCCTCTGAAAGTGCTGAGATTATAGGCATGAGCATGCTGCACCCAGCCAATATTTCTTAAAGATAGGTGATAGGATTGCATCTTTTTGCTCCTTGAAAGATGGGCTTGGCCACGTGACTTACTTTGACTAATGAAATATGCAGGGAGGTGATATGACTGTCCTCTAGGTGGATGCTTGACGTGGCATTTTGTGATTTACCACATTTTCTAGCCCTTGCCTTAGAGATTTTTGGATACCTGAGTTGAAATAAACCATCTGTCAGCTCATGTCCCTGAGTGACTACAAAAAGCAAAAGTTCTAGCCAACCTGTATTAGGCACATGGCACGAATAAGAAATAAACTTTTATTGTTATAAGCCACTAACTTCATGGGCTGTTTATTATAGCAGCATCGTGTAGCCCATACTGGCTGATGCATCTTGCCTCCTGCTGGCCTGTCATATCTTCTGCCGCTTTGCACTCTCATCTCTTCCTTCCCCCACTTGCCATTATCACCAACATTTGCTGACCACCTGTATGTGCAAAGTGCTTGGTGTCAATATGTTGCTCATAAGAGCCTTATCAAGTAAATACTTTTTATATCTTGCCACTGCCAGATGAAGAAATGAGCTCAGAAGGTCACTGTTCACAAATCCCACAGTTGTAGGCAGAGAAAGAGTCAAACGTGGGTCTTTCAAACTCCAGATTCTGTTATTAACTACTATGCTAGCTGTCTTACATTAGGAAGGAGTTCACTTACTGTCTTTTGAGTTTTTTCTTTAATGTAAATGCCCTGAGTTTTTCAACACATATAAAAGGGTTTTATGAATCCTTTTTGTTCATAAAAGGAGATTAACATTAATTTCTCTGTAGAGTAGGATGAAATAGAGAAAGGGAGAACAGGAAAAATATAATTGGAATCTGTTATCAACTCTGATGTCTTAGAAGTAGGATTTTTATCCTTCTCAAAATAAATTCTAGGACACACATTCATCCCATTTGCAAAGCCATGTGACTCTAGAGAACCATGTTGACTGATTGGAAATGAGTAGAATTCTAAACAGCATTAGCTTGATGTGGAATTTCCAACTACTTAATTCTGGTTAGTTTTGAAGACACATGAGCTGACTGCTTCACGGGAATCAGGAATGAAGGGGAATCTGTTCAGAACGTATGTCTCCCCACACTAAAAACAATTCAAAGCCATAAATTACTTACATCATCTCAGCACCTGGGGGACTGCTCACTAATTCTAGGGCCTATAAAATAAGGGATCAAAGGGAACATTTCCTATGTTGATGCTGTGAGATCTATGCATATCTTTCAGTTCTTTCTTTTTGGATGATGGTGGTGATGATGATAATGATGATTTTTGCATAAGAGTCTTGGACCACCTCATTTTCACAAGGTGCTAAGGAATGGGTTTTAGGGTTTGGCCCGAAAACCTTATTTCACCTAGAATTTTGCAGGCAGAGCAAAGAGTTAGCAGCCTGGGGTGGGGCAGTGAAGGAGAGAGCGTTCCCTTTGGTCACTTGAAAAAATCAGTGCCGTTTTCCTTGTCAGCACTACTGAAATTTAGCACTGCTAGGAAACAGAAATCTGATATTCCAAGATGCTCCCATTGGATTTTCAGACATCTCCTTTGCATTTTGATTGTTTCAGCAAGTCGTACCTCACTTCTGATACCTATAAATATCTCAGGTTTTAGTTG